AAAACACCCGACACCCAAAGTTATGGAGGAAAGATTTATTTAACTTACAGCTTGCAGAGGTTTCAGTCCATAATTAACTTGCTCCAAGGAGGGCGGAACATGGCAGAGGGGCAATAGTTCATGGAGGTGGAAGATAGCAAAAGCAATAAGGAGACAAAAATAGGGGACAATCCTCTTTCTGTCCCTTATATTGTATGCAGAGTACGCACCCTATAGCAGGTTTGGCACTGGTGCTTAAATAAGGGTGCTTAATCCAAGCACCCTTATCCCAGAACTACATTACAAATAAACCATATACGCTGGACTCAGCCACCTTATGGAAAAACCCTATGGCTGGATAAGGCTTTGGGGAGACATCTAGATACAACCCCTAATATTCTGACCTTGCCCCCCACCCCAATTCATGCACATTCCTTTTCCAAAAGCATTTAGTCCATCTCCAAGAGTTGTCAAAGCCCTAACAATTTCAGCATTGTTGAAAAGTTCAAGCCAAAATTTTCCTTTAACATTTAAGGCACCCTGTTAGCTGTGAGCAACTGTAAACATGAAAAGAAAGTTAAACACTTCCAACATTCAATGGTACAAGATAGACATTTTCCTTCCAAAAGTTACAAACAGGGGCACACACAAAAAGTATGAAAGCAAATACAAAATCTAGTAGGGCAAACATTAAAATCCTATAGTTCCATGTGTAGCATCTGAGACAATCTGTGACAAGATGTGAACTCCAAAGTGCTTGTGGTGGCTCTGCCCCTAGGACACTTCTGGTAGTTGTGGCTCTCGTGGCTTCTCTCTTGAGCCTGCTCTGCTTCTTCCTTGGACAATCCATGTTTCCCAATAATCCATGTTCCTAGCTTTCCTCAGATAATCCATGTTCCTAGCTTCTCCCAACTTCTGAAGTCTCAACTGCATCTTTGTCTTTACACTCACAGCTTCATACACTGCCCTCTCAGGAGCACACAACCTGATCGCCTAGGCCTTCCTCTAAAATCTGACTGAAAGCCTTCCTGACCCCACAACTCTTGAATTCTGCATGTGCCTAAAACCAGTGCCATATGGATGATGCTAAGGTCTGTCAGCAACTGGAGCAGTAGCCAGTTCTTTCTGTGTTGACTGTAGGGGTCCTATGCCTATGAATCAAATTCTAAAGAACAGCTTCCTTTCACCACTGGCTATTTTCTCAAGGCAAAGTTTTTCACTTTTGCAAAAGTTTTTCACTTTTGCAAAAGTTTCACTTTTGAAACTGCAAAACCATCTTTTCTTGAACCATAATTTTTATCTTCCTGTAACTTTTCAGCAATCAAAATTTCCTCTGCTCTGTCTTTGCCAGTACACAGTTTTACTGGAGCTTACATTCTGGCCAACCTTGTAACATTTTAAATCATTCTACTGGTTCTCTTGATTCTCAACATACATCTGGTTAAAAGCCCCCAACAGTATCTATGCTACCACCTCAACATTAGACTGTCTTAAAACTTCTTCTGCCAGATTAATTCATCTATTACCCTTCATTCCAGGCTCAGGCAAAGTCTAGACATGAGCAACATGCAGACAAACTTTCTACCAAGGCACAATGCACATTGTCTGAAGTACAACAACCCATGCAGTCCTTCTTGCAAGTAGAAACCTCCTGAGTCTTGTATTTACCAATAGAATTTCTATCAATATTCTGGTCTTCTGAGCTTTGAACAGAATCTCCCATCAAGATATTCCAGCTCTGCTTTTTCAGCCAGTGTCGCTGAACTTTCTAAGCTTTTCCAGCAAGCCATTCCCAAAGGCTCCTGATAAATGATCAGGGTTAGTCACGACAGTGATCCCACTTCTGGTACTAGATTCTATTTTAGCTACTTTTTCTTTCTTTCTTTCTTTCTTTCTTTCTTTCTTTCTTTCTTTCTTTTGGTACTAGGGATTGAACTCATGACTTTGTACTTGCTAGGCAGGTGCTTACATCACTGAGCTAAATCCCTAGCCTTTAGTTACTTTTCCTAATGCTGAGACAAAAAACACTCAATTCTCAAAGTTAAGGGAGGGAAGGTTTATTTAACTCACAGTTTGTAGAGGTTTCAGTCTATAATTTGCTAGCTCTAAGGCCAGGTGGCACTCATCAGAGGGGCAACATTTCAGGGAGGTGCAAGACAGCAAAAGCAACAAGAGAGAGGAAGAAAGGGAACAAGTCTCTTTTTGTCCCTTATATTGTATGCAGGCTGTCCACCCTAGGTAACACTGACATCCTTAATCCCAACACCTTTAATCAAAGCATTGTACTATGAAACAATCACACACACTAGGTTCAGTCCTTTCTGAAAAAATCCTATGACAGCATGAGGCTTTGGGGAGGCATCTAGACACAAACCATAATACATGTGATGCTCACATACATTCATATGGAGGATTATAGTGCACAGCTAAAAGTGTGAGTTGGGTGTGAGGTACAGTGGTGCATACTGATAATGCCAGCATTTGGGGAGGCTGAGACAAAGGGATTAAAAATTCATTCCCAATCTGGATAATTTAATAAGATCTCATCTCATTAAAAAAATTTATTGAGTTGGAGATAAGGATGGAAGATTGAGGTACAGATTCCTCAACAGGTAGGTGGCAGTTGAAGTCATAACCATGAATGACTACCTACGGAAGCAGTGGGGAAGGTGGCTTAAGAGCAAAACCTGAGAATTAGCTGTGGGAAAGACAGAAGTAGAAGAGGGAGAGGGAAGAAAGACTCCAGAAACAAGGAGGTTCTACTGGTTCTCATGATATCCTGCATCATCAATAGTACCAGAGCACAGTTGAGTGTGGATGGAAGAAATTGGAGGCAATGAGGTATATAAGGAATTTGGGACAGGTAGAAGATGTGGCCCCAAATCAACCTTCACCTCTACTGATTGTTTTCTTCCCCTATTAAAACTGGAATGCTGAGCTACATGATTTTTGTGGTGTTTTATTTAATAGCAGAATATAAATGAGTGGGCAATATGGGAAGATTTTAAAAATTAGCACATTCATTTTCTTTAACAAATACTTTTTGATTTTTTTACAGTGTTCAGTTACTGTTTTAGTTACAAGGACATAATTATGAACCAGACTGATCATGGAAATGGTCATTACGGTGAGAAAGTCATGCAATAAACAAACAATATCACTTATAGTTACTGATAATAACTATAAAGACAAATAAGGTAGGTAAACATGTCATAGGATAACTTGGGCAGACTCCTTTTATTATCTGTATGAATACATTGGTGGCTCCAGTAATCCAGATAGAAGATGTTGGTTGGATTAAGATTGATAAGGTATCAGTCATCCTTCCATTACTACAATGAAATACCTGAGGTAGTTAACTTATAAAGAGAAAAGGTATATTTTGACTTATGGTTATGGGATTTCTACGTCAAAACCAAGTGACTCCAAAGCTTTGGATCTCTGGTGAGAGTGGGATATCATGGTAGGAGGACATAGCAGAGCCCACCACTCACCTCATGAGCCAGGAAGCAGAAAAACAACAACAAAAACAGAAAGAAGAATAAACTGGGGTCCCACAATCTTCTTCTAGGCCACACCTCCAGTGACTCAAGGATGTCCCTCCCACCAAGCCCCATTTCTTAAGGGTTCTAAGGCCTCTCCCACTGTGGTGGTCCACTCTTGTAATTGCAGCACTCTGGGTGACTAAAACAGGCAGATTGCCAGCTTGAGCCCCACCTGGGCAATTTGACAGCTTAGTGATACCGTACCTCAAAATAAAAAATAAAAAGGGGCTGGAATGTGGCTCAGTGTGAAAGCTCTGGATTCAATCTCCAGTACTGGAAAAAGAGTTATAATACCTCCCTATAGCACTACCCTGAAGACTATACCTTTGACATATGAACCTTTGGAAGAAACTCCCCAGCAAGAGAGGTAACACTAACTTTAACTGAACAGTTAGCTGTAGCCAGATTTAATTCTAAATAAATTATTTCCATTTTGTTTAAATTTTTGTTTTTTTAAAAAAACAGGGTGTTGCTATGTAGTTCAGGCTAGCATTGAACAGACTATGTAGCACAGACAGGCCTCAAATTTATGGGGATTCTCCTGCCTTAGACTTTCAAGTACTGGGATTACAGTCATGTACTACCATACCTGGCTGTTATCTTCATTTTACATGTAAGGTAACTGAGGCAGAAAGGTCAAGTAACTTGGCTAAGATTACATAGCTAGTGACTGGTAGAGTGAGAACTCAACCTAAGCAATCTGTCTCAAGAGCTTGCCTGCTTAGTATTTGTGCTAAACAAAATCAGGATACATGTTGAAGACAACTGACAAATTTTGATACTGGGTTTGAAGGAAAGAACAAAAATCCAGGAAAACTGCTAAAATTTTAGCATTAGCAACCATACGATATTTAGTAGAATGGAGAAGAATAAACAGAAAAAGCAGGGATCAAAAATTCTGATTGGCTGGTTGTGGTGGTACATGCCTATAATCTACCCCTACCAAAAAAAGAACACATGAAGTTTAAACACACACACACACACACACACACACAAAGATAGTTAAGATGGTTATACTACTAATTTCTCTTAGTTCATTGAAAAGAAAGGTGAAATGATCTGCTAATAAACAACAAAAATAGCCAAGTTAGCTTTTTTAATTGTTTTGAAATTTTTTTTCCTCTTTAAAATAATTTTTAAAAAAATGCCACATACACAGCTATAGAGACCATAATAAGCACTCCAGGCACTTTGGTAGCTTCAGTGACAGCTATATTTGAAGCTAAACTGGAGACAACATACCATTATGTTAGAGAACTATTCCGCTAGGGTCAACATTTACCAGTTTTTCACGTATTCTCAGTTACATGCAATCCCAGTTTTGGAAACTGTGTGAAATGATCTGCTAATAAACAACAAAAATAGCCAAGTTAGCTAAGATCTTACTTTTACCAGCACTCAGCCTGAGAGAAAACCTTTTTTAAGAACTTCCCAGAAGCCTAATCCCCTCAGACCTGAGGCAAGAGCACCACATACCTACAATCTTTAACTTCTCAGGATTTCAAAGAGGGTGAATTCTCCCAGTTAGAGAATTAAAGCTGTCTTTGATGTCACCCTCTTGCTGGCTGGTCAATGAACTTTGCTCTCATGGCACACAGAATTACACAACTCTCAACCTGTCCAGCCTTACAAAATACTGTCCCTTTGACCCCGCTGACTCTGACTTCAGTATTTGACTTTTACTTCATCTGACTTCAGATAATGCAGCCCTTTTAGACAGGCCTCAAACTTAAGATTCACTTTCCTAATCCTGCCTGACCAAACCTGCCCTGTTACTACTGTTAGAGCTTCAGGCCAGGTAAGCCATTTGTACAGTGTTGGAAACACTCTGCCTTGATTAGGACAGTGCATAATTGTACCCATTTTTCAACACTCATCACGCTATCCACATATTTACCTCAATTTAGAAATACTTTAATTTTAGTTGGTCGTGATGGTGCACACCTTTAATTCTGGCTACCCAGGAGGCTGAGGCAAAAGAATCATAAGTTTGAGGCTACCTTGGCCTACACAGCAAGACTTTATCTCAAAAAAAATCTCAATTTTAAAAGATCGTGTTTCTCTCAGTAGACAGTTAATAAAGTCCCTCAGTTCCTCTCTTCCTTAACTCCTCTACTTGGAGTATTTCTGCTTGCCTTTTTTTTTTTTAAACATACTCTCCCTTGGATCCTTTAAAGATATCGGCTCTCCTCTTCCTTCTCTGAGTGATCACCACTGCCCTCCACTAGTCTCCCAGCATCCTCAAGACTCATCACTCTCTACATGTGCCATCAAGCAGTCATATCGATACCTGCATCTTCAATAGTCTCAAAATGAGTCTTCAGATGATCAAGGTCTGTTTTACTCAGGTTCCTGCTTGGAAATTCAACCTTGAAATGTGCTAAAACAAACCGACTGTCTTTGCTAAACCAAGTTTTCCTATGACTTCTCTGTTTTCAGAAAATGGCATCATCATTTTCTAAGTATTACTCTAGAAATATCCTGTAAATCTGTCTTCTCTACACTTCTTGCCAATGTTTGAACTCTTTTCATCCAATAAATGTTGTGTCCTATCTCTTACCTATTATTTTTCTTAGTAATCTGTCTCCATTTTCACAGCTATCCATTAGGTCAAATTTTCATCTTCTTTTCCATTGACCATTTGAAATTTTTTAAGGAAGCTCACCCACATCCATCTAATACGCTGCTGCCAAAATATTCCATAAAGATACTGTGTCATTCCTCTACTCTAAAGGATTCACTTAAAGAAATAAAGCTAAATGGCAGAGTCTAGCATTCTCGGTGCTCTTGATCTATCTACCACTCTACGTTTATATGGCACCATTCTCTTTCCGTTATACTGGGATCTAACAAAACTTAATGAGTTGCTATTTTCTGAATATTTCTCAAACTTTTCTATTCTTCTGCCTCCTACTTTTATTTATACTGCACTCCAATTAGCTTCTCTAATAGAAACTCCATCCATTCCCCACATTCAATCAAACTCGAATCGTACTAGCCAGAAATGAAGAAAAAGGACTTTTGCAAGAGGCTGGCTTTGCTCCACATGTATTGTTCATACCTAAAATACCCACTGCATACCCTAAGGCAAGTTAGGTTTTCAGTGTATAGAAAAATGTTCTCTGAATATAGATATATCTTTTTTACATATCTAAGTGCTAATATTTTATTTTATAGAATTTCTTCCTTTGAAAACTTATGTTTAATTCATCATAGAAAAAGAAATCAAATACTTGATGAAAATCAAAAGCCTTTGGCCATCTTCAATCTAATTCTACATAGAGGGGGTTACTGTAGCCATGCTCTGTGCATCTTTATAGACCTGTCTGCATATGTATTTGAATATAAAAAAAGTAATTACATGCAGAAATTGCTTTGTGGTAAGTATGATGGGCTTTAAATTAATAGCAAGTTACACACAGATACAAAACTGCTAATAATAAGTGCCATTCTTTTAAATCATTTTAAGTATATAGAGTTTTGATCATGATGTTGCACTTATTGGGCATTTTTCAGGCAAGCACTTTTCTAAGAGCTTGGGGTAAAGTATTTAAAACTTCAACCCTGAAGTAGATGCTGTAATTATCCTCGTTTTAGAGGTGACAAATTTTAACTCTATCAAAGTCTGATGTATGTAGGCCACGCTTTCTGCTAACAACGAAAGACCTGGGATTCTGACCCAGGAAGTCTGACCCTGAGCTCATGCTCTTAAATGCTTCAGTCTGCTATTGGTCACTGCAACAGAAACTGTGAACTATGGATATTTCTATGATCCCCCTGGTTTCTCCTGCATCATGTTGCTCCGTCCTTGGGCTCAGATCCCCAGCAATGTTCACACGCTTCTGCTGTTTGATTGTGGCCCTGATCTTACTCTTCTGCTAAGTTAGGAGAGGAATCTAAAATTAAATGTGTTATATTTCTAATTAACTAAGCTAACTGATAGTCATGCAAATGCATGAACTATGATAGCGTCAACTCCATGAGCAAGGACCGTGTTGCTACACCTCTCACACCTCTCACGTAGTAAGCAGGCAACAAACATATTGGAAAGAGTTGTGCTGACTAGGAACTTCTTAGTCAGTCTGTTCCCATTCCAACAGCTGTGGGTTCAGTTGCAGATCGTGAGGAAGGAAGGACCAAAGAGAAAGAACTAACTTAGCTCCTCCATCCTTATATTTTTTTCATCAAATGCATACATATGGTCAAATGATAAAAGGAAAGTTTTTTAAAACAAAAAATGCCATTTCCCTTGCTCTATCTCTGTCTACAGCTAGTGGACTAGTGGGACTACCACTTGAAACTTTTTCTATTTTTATAGTTCTGGTAGTTACTTCTATATTTTAAATAATGCATCTATACTGATGCTACTTGATTAGCTTTAGACACACCATCATGGTCATCATCTCTGAAGAAATATGCATATTTGAGACTGTTTCTTTAAAATATGAGTATATGGCAGGCCTGGGGAGGTGAGAAGTAGCTCTACTTCTTATCTAGGGATCAGAGATCCCTGTGTGTAGCTTTACCAAGGCAATTACCACATCTATGGAAATTGTGGATTGTGTTATTGGTTCCTTCATGACAGGCTGAGTGGCATGTGGAAAATCATCATCCAGCTCCTTAAATTTATGGACCCCCTCAGAACCAACAGTGAATCCCCATAGTGGGCAGATTCATTATATCTCTTTATTGAATGGATCACTGAGTGAGTCCTGTAACAAAGTTTCTAAAATGTTCATGAGTCATGAAACAATGAAGATCTTAATGACTGATCATCCGAGAAGCTAGTAAGCAATTGGTTTCAAGGTTGATTGACCAAATCTTCCTGCCACCTCAATAGGCAAAACTTGATATTGCCAAGCCTAGTCTCCACAACGCGTGGATTTGCCTGCCTCCCTGTTCTCAGTTTCTAACTAACCATCTGATTAAATGCAAGACTTGTGTCTACTGTCCAGAAACAATCAAGTAATATAAAATTATAAGAGATATGTTATATTTCTAATTAACTAAGCTAATTGATAGTTTGAAAAACGAATTGGAAACATATTTCATTTTTAAGATACTTGTAAAAGTATTCTATAGATCTTTTACAAGTGAGAAGGGGACTGGGTATGGTAGCACAAACCTGCAAAATCCCAGCACTCTGGAGAATGAGGCAGGAGAATCATAGTGAGTTTGAGGCTGGCCTGGGCTACAGAGTGAGTCCAGAGCTATATAGTGAGTCCAGGCCAGCCTGAACTACAGAGCAAGACCTAGTCTCAAAAAAAAAAAAAAAAAAAAAAGAGTGGGATTTAGCAATAGAAGGAGGGGGAAAGGAAGAGAAAGGGAATTAAAAAGAATTAAGATGTATTATATATGTAGAAATGAATGTAATCATTATGTACTATAAACATTGGTTAATAAAAGTAAACAAAAATTTTAAATAAATTGATAATTTTAATCAACTTTAATTGTATTATAGAGTTAAGACCTAAAAATTAAATATCCAGAGCCATTGTTAACTATTTAAAAAATAAATGTAAATTCTTTTCAGTATTAATTTCTTTTTATTTTTCTATTTCAGTAAATGGCATCTTTATTGACTAATCAAAATCCAAAACTTACTTTAGTGTCTTGTGTCTTACTATCATCTCTTACATGTAGTTGTTCGTCAGTACCCACAAAAGTACAAGTTGCCAGACCTCCCACAGGTATAAAAATCCTACAATGCTCAAGTGCTGTATATAAAATCTGTATAGTACTTGCATGTACTTCTGCACATTCACCCCTGTGCTTTAAGTAACCTAGATTACCTATAAAAATACAATGTTGATACTGTGTAAATAGTTATATTATCTTATTTAAGGAATAAAGACCAAAGAAGTCTGTATGTGTTTGGTATGGATGCAATTTTGGGTGAAATACTCCGGCTCTGCAGTTGCTTGACTCCTTGGACGCTGAGCCTGCAGATGTGCAGGACAGACTGTACTCCATGACCAGTTTCTGGTGTTCTGTTGTCATAATATCCCTTGCACCTGTTTCCTCCCACGTTCCCACTGTAACCCCCTCCACTCAGGCTGTTTCTCATCTACTTTTTTACGGTCTCTGAAATAGATTGTTGCTGTGTCACCAAATTCTTCTGCCATGTACTGCCAGAATCGTCCTTTGAAAACACAAGTCTTGTGCTTCTTAACTATACCCAGGTTGTTTAAGACCCAAGAGCTCCCAAGAGCCTGGAATTATTTTACTACTTTATTTATTTATTTATTATTTACAGGAGATTGAATGCAGGGCCTTTACACTGAGCTACACATTCCATTCCTTCTATTTTTTTTTTTTTTTTATGTTTTTGAGACAGTGTTTTGCTAAATCGCTCAGGTAGGATTCAAACTTGTGATCCTCATGCATTAGTTTCCCAAAAGTCTAGAATTATATGTGTTCCACTACACCTAGCTTAACATATTTGTTGATAGCAACCTTTTAGCTATTTTCAAAAGTTGCCAGTGTGTTAGTTTGCTAGACTTGCCATAAAAAAGTGCTATAGAGTGAGTGGTTTTAACAACAGAACTTATTTCTCAAAAAT